GAAACTATAAGAAACCGTAATGTTTTGTTGAATGTTGTTGAAATTTTGCTAAACGTTGTAAATCACTAGCTAAACGATCAACCTCACGTGGATCAACACGATGACCATGATCTGATCGTGTGACACTTCGAATTGATCGTGAAGAACGTGTCTGAAAAATTTTATTAATTATTTCAAAATTTCTTTTTTTTTTTTTATCATTGTCATCCTATATTTTTTCTAAAAAGATTATCTCAAATTAATTTTATTTAATAATTAAATTAATCAATATATAATGTATATTTTATACTTCATTACTAAAAAATTCATTATGACTTTTTCCTTTTTTTTTTCTTCTTCATTTCCAATTGGTTTTAGTACAAAATTTTCAAATAGCTCAACTTAATTAGCAATTAATCTAATTAATTAAATTAATTTTTTCCTTCATTTTCAATCGATTTTGGTACAAAACTTTCAAATGGTTCAGCTTAATTAACAGTTAATCTAATTAGTTAAATTAATTAGTGGGCTAATTCAATTAATTTAATCTAACTAGCAATGGTTCACTTTAATTAATTTGATTAAATTTAATTTAATCAATTACATCAATTTGATTGATTAAGTTATCCAAACAATATCACTATTCCCGTATTTAAATTACTTATTTATTTGTTTATTTTTACAATTTTAAAATTTTGCTCATTTCACAAATTATCTTTTCTATAATTCTTCATTTAAAAGAAGAGGAAGAAGAAGCGATAAAAGTTTAGAAAAAAATTTTTTCCAATAAGAGAGAATTTGAGCGGAAATGGTCAATGGTCAATGGTAATCCATAGCTGTCATCAGAGACATTGATATGTGTCATTTACTTTACAAAGATTAAATTACACAACAATTCGAAAATTATTGTAATATTTGAAAAAAAAAATTAAATTAAATTAGAGAAATAAGAGATATTATTTAAAATGAAATAAAAGTTTAGCTCATAAGATGCATTGAAAAATAAGCAATCTATAAATTATAAATGATTCTATAATAAATTTAATTTAAATTATAATTAAAATATTTTAAATTCTACCAAAATGAAGATCAATTTTTTTTTTTGTAAAAAAATTTTAATCTATAAATTCATTTATCAATTTGCTGAATAAATCATAGAGGACAAAGAGGAGAAATGATGATGATGAATGATGATGATGATGAATGATGATGATGATGATGATGATGATGATGATGATGATGATGATGATGATGATGATGATGATGATTAGAAATTAATATATGAGTAATTAATGAAAATTTCATTTTCTATTTCAATGCATAGAATATTTGAAATTTGCAGAAAAAATATCTCTCTCTCTCCCTTTCTTTCTCTCCCTCTCT